GCGTCACCTTGACCCCATATCCTCTCTTTCATCTGTCCCCTTGTTTTAAAAGTTGTCAGCCCCTTCCAGCTGAGAAACAAAGAACCAAATTTTATTTAATAATAATAAAAAAGGGCGATCTGCTGGCAAAAGTTTTGCTTCTCTCTCTCTCTTTCTCTTTTTCTCTCTCTCATTTGCCAGAGAGAAGTCTGAATGGAAATCAACATCACTGCCATCTTGCTGTCACCGGATTTCTCCTATTTTCTTCTTCTGAATCCATTATTGATTGGTTAAATTTACATCCTGCTTTTCTTCCCACGAATTCGAGGCCAAGCATGTGGCTCTCCTTCTCCCCACTGTCTTCCCAGCCTCTGAGATAAGCCAGGCCAAGAAAATGTGGCTGGCCCAAGGGTACTTCGGGTGAGTTCGGAGGGTGGAAAAGATGGGCGTTGGATCGCACTGGTAAGAGTCCCTTTGCAGGGACCGGTCTCCCGTAAGTGACCCACCTGTCCGTCAGGGAATGGCTTCAGCCACCCGGTCCCCCAAAAGAGTAGCTGTACAGCTAGAGCAAAAAGGTCCAGTTTGGGCTTGGATCGGTGGTCAGCCTGGAGTGCAGTTCTCCCTACGCTGTGCGATTGCCCTGAAACAGACCATGCCAGACCTCTCCAGGAGCAGACCAAGATACAACCTAGTCCCCCAGGGCATCACATCCTGAGCGAGTTTTATGGCTTGGTGGGCCTCAAATACACTTTTACTCAAGGTGGACAAATCTGTCAGTTTCAGTTTATCCCACATTTAAATTTTCTTAATCCCAAGGTCTTTAATTAGACACAGGAATGAAAAAAAAAATGAAAAAAACAAATTGCAATTTTCATAGAAAATTGCCAATTTGTCGAATATTCGTCATTTCATATTTATAAATTCCAGAGACCCTGACAAGTACAAAGAGACAAATGTTTTCCTGTTTTTTATTCGTCCCCATAGAAGGCTGTCTTAAAAAACAAAACAAACAACAAAACAAACAACAAGGAACTAATTCATGGTTTGTTGGTAAAACTCTTGTAAATTTGTGAACCAAACCAAGATAAACCACTATTTTGGTGGTTCATCCCCATCTCTAGTCTTTATGTTGAATTTACGAAGAAATCTGTGACCTCTAGGAATTCCTACCGAAAAATAATTGGATACAGTTCTCAGCTCTCTCTCATCATCATGCACTTGAGCAGTCCCTTTCTAAAGCCTAAACCTTTTCACTAGGAACAGGATCCAGACGTTTCCCGTCCTCTCCTGTGATGGGCTTGCAAGCGTCCTTCTTTTACGTTTGACCCTAGGATCTGACGATTCGTCCTACACTGCCCTGAAGACGAAGCTTCTGCTCTACATCTGTGGAGGGCCCTCTTGCTCACTGTGATCATTTATTCCTTTCCAGTATCTATGCAGGCTGGTGAAACGAATTTATCAAGAGTTAATTTTAATATTTTAATGTTTCCATTTTTCCAAGGAGCTCGTCAAGAGAGATCATTGGTTCTCCCCCTCCCCTTTTTATGCCCCCTGATGAAGATAAGGAGGAGTAATTTAGCTTAAGGTCACTCAGTGAATTTCAAAATCTCATAAAATTTTGAACCCAAGCCTTCCTACTTCTGGCCTGGATCGTTCCAAAACTTGGTGCTTGTTCCCTCATGTGTTTTGACTACAGCTGCCATCATCCTCTGCCACTGCTCTTAAAACTATACCTCACTGCCCAGGATCACATCTCACATGGCACAGCATGGCAGGTCCTCTTTGTGAACCCTGAACTTCCTCAAATGCCCATCAATTTAATCTTGAGCTCTAATATTACCGGGGGTAGAAGAGGAAAAAAAAAAGCTCTGATCACACCATTCATGGTTTTATACGTTTGCCAATGTTTTATAAATATATGTCAAAATCTCTGCTGAAAATGTTGCTCACGTAGACCTGAGCACATAAATTAGGTGGACTGACCTTCGTAATACTCAGCGTTTTTCAGATCTACTTCACTTTTTTTTTTTTTTGGAGTGGCTTCTAAGATGCTTGGGCCCTCCCTATCATGCCCCACGTCAAAGTTTCACCCACCTACTGGATGCCCCGCCAGCCTGCACCTTTGGTCCTCTCATTGTTTGTGAAAGCCAATCTGTCAGGGAACCTGTTGGTGACGAGGGCTTGTTGACTGCTCCCTGTCCATTACGGCCCAGATTATAAGCATATTGCACAGTTCTCTCTGCACGATGCCTGGGAAATCCAATACGCTGAAAGGTTAATGCAATCAATTAGGGTGACAGGGGAAGTAAAGTAAGGCTTCCGAGTAGATGAAAAAGAAAGGAGAGAGAGAATGAAGGGGCCTTGCCAGGATTGGAAAAATAACCCACATTTCTCCTTCGTTGTGCACTAGATTTGTGTGATTCAGAGCCAGTGCTACAATAACTTATTCCAATCCAGTCAAAAGCAAAATGGGAGGACATGATCCTCTGGTTTGCTGTTTTAGTTTTTTTTTAAACCAAGCATGGGAGATATGCGACAAAGAAGCAGGGCACCCTGGCCTTCAAAAGACAAGTAAATAAACTAAAAGGTCAATGAAGCAAGGGTGGGATTATTGCAATGTACAATTAATTGTTCACATTCAGAAAACGATGTAAGCGTTCCTGTGTTTACACGGGTATCGCGTGGGATCTGTCCCTCCCTAGAACAACAAAGTGGGAAGTTACAAACCCCTGAAGAGAAGCAGAACTTGGGAGCAAGTTCAGAAATGGATGCAAACACAGGCTGGGGAAATGGGGTGGGGGTGTATGTTACACCCTGGCATGAGATGGCTTGTAGGCAGTCACATGACAGCAAGAAATGGAGTTATCTTCATAATGAAACTACTGTATTATTGGGGGTCAATGTCATATTCCCCCCCCCATACAACCAAAACCACACACAAGTGTGGTATTCTTAGAAGTGGTCTATGCCTCCTCAGGGCAAGGAGGTTGTTCTGGAGTTCTTGGGAGGAAAGGAAGATCGACCTGGAAAGCGAAGCAAGGAGGGCAGCAAAGCAGGGCTTAGGAAACGGGAGGGCACTCCCCTAGGACGAGGCATGGGAAGTTCATAGGCGACCAGAGGGATGGGTTTTGACTCCCTTGGGAAGTGAAGCTGGGGACCCTTTCCTCCCGAGCCCCCCCCTTTGTTCTCCTTTCCTCCTTCTGATTTTGAGGCCACCCCCCAGAGTCCCACATGATTTTTTTTACACCAAGCACTGGGACAGGCAAGCCCTTCCCATGACACCACCGCCCACCCCGCCGCCCCATCCTTTTAGCCGCCTGCAGCTGCTGCTCCAGCCGCTCGCCCGATGAAGCCGGGGTGAGGAAAAGTAGCACCACCAGCTTGTGAGGACATTTGGTGGCTCCCTGACTTCCCCACCGGACTCTCCCTTCATCCCTATTTGGCCTGGACCGCTTGCTCCCGGGGAAGCCTTCTCTAATCCCCAAGGACCCAGAGTGCAGAGGTCTTGGTCCCTGGTGACTGAGGGAGAAAATCTGGGTCAGAGTGGGAGGGGAAGGGAGCATAACCGGAGGGGCAGGAAAGGGTCTTTCATGGGTTTCTATGGGAGGGTCACCTTCCCACAAGCGCCAGGCCCAGTCAATGGGAGGCAAGGAAGACCTGCAAAGGCAGGGGAAGGGAAGGGGGGGCTGAACGAGGCGGCAAGGGGGAGGAAGGGAAGGGGATCCTGAATGGAAGGAGGAGGGAAGAGCTGTAACCAGGGCGGTGAGGGATGCAAAAGGAAGCATTCGCCTGCTCCTTTTCAGCTCTCGAGGCAGGGTGCTGGGGGGGTGACCTACACCACACCCGGCTGTGATCGGGTTTCAGGGCCACTGCCTGTCGATCCTGAAACAATAAAGGGGTGCCTTTGAAGTCAGAAAAAGAAAACAAAATGGGGTTAAAAAAACCCCTCTGCAACCCCACTGGAGCGATCTTTTGGAGGTTGGGGGGAAAGTGTGGGGAACGAAGGGCCAAGCGGGTGGGTGGAGAGGTTGAGAGGACAAAGCCGAGAGTCGGGAACCCAGCGGGGCACCCCAAACCAGAAAGGGGGAAGAAGAAAGAAAACAAACACTTTATGAGGAGGGCACATGCTGCCTTCTGTCTGTATCCTTCCTTCCCCCATCCACAAAGCCCCCAGGTCTCAGAGAGGCCCCCATCAATGATGGATGGATGTGTGCAAAGCCCTACTCCATCCTGCCCCATCACAGCAGAAATATTTACATAACATTGGCCTTCCACCGGTCACCTTTGACACTGCAAAGCGGCAGCCCCCTGTGTTGCTCATTTGAGGGGGGGCACATATTCACCCCCACGGGCATCTAGCTAAAGGACTGGATCATCGGAGAGCAGCCCCACACTTCATTCAGCATGCATGGGGAAGCTGAAGCTCTTGATTAATCTGGGGGTGTGAATCGGGTATGTTTATCATGAATGTTCATTGAGGGCAGCTAAGAAACTTCTTAACTTGTTCAGGGGATAAGCCTGGGACCGGAGAAGATCACTCTGGATTGCAAGGGCAGAAGCTGCTGGGACATGACACTGCCATGACTGAATGCTCTTTATCAGAAAGAAGGAAAGAGCTCCCCGCATGTAGAAACCTAGGACAGCAGGGAAAGTTGCTCTTCCTTACATCCCTTCCTCAGTTGTATGTGGTGTGCATGGGGGTTCCTCTCCCCAAAGGCCAACTGGAAAAAAAGGGAGGCATTGCTTCAGAAGGTAGATCTCTCTTCAACAGACCGAACAAAGAAAGTGGAAAACTATCTCCCCCCCCCCGCCCCCGATACTAGCAGGGATGGAGTCGTGGTGAAGAGGATGGGCCAGTGTTTGGCACTTCAGTAGGCCACTCATTCTTATTAGCGGTGTTGGGAAGTGCAGAGTATGAATAAGAACAACCTTCAATATGGAACACCCACACACACACACACACACATTCCCATCGACACACAGAAAAAGTAGGAAAAAAGAACCCACAAGGGCAGACATACCCATTGGTGGCCTTGGTGGTCTCTCCTACCTTTCGACAGTCAAGAATCGGATTCTGCAATTTTTGTTTTGCTTTGTTTTAAAGCTGTGAAGTCACTTCATCCTGAGGCAAAAAAAGAGAGAGAACAAGTGCGGTTAACACCGTGGGAGGCACACACCAAGAGAGACACACATAGTGCAAAAAAGTGGCCACTGGTTAGCAGCTTGGGATCCATCCAAGACCTTTTGACACCTGAAGCACATAACAAGATGTCCAGCCCTCCTGTTTTTTATATATATGTACACACAGAGAGAGAGAGAGAGAGAGAGAGAGAGAGAGCGGCCAAGCAGACCTTTCCTCACTACTGATGAAGGGATGGCCACTTCCGCCATAAGGGAGAGTCACAGGAGGAGAGCTGAAGAGACACGCGGGGGGGGCGGCGGCGGCGTGGAGTGGCAGGCCAGCTCTCTCCTCCTCCCTCCTCCCTCCCACCATCTGACACCCGAGGGAACCCCTTGGCTCTGTCTAGTGGGAGAGTTAGCCAGGGCTTTCAGCTGCTGTGGGTATCCCTGAGCATCATCACTCTGATGCGCAACTTGACCAGCAGCATCTTGCTGCTGAACGATAACTGGGAGAGCCAGTGTGGATTCCTTTGGGATGTTTGGAAGGGCCCAGAGCAGAACCTAAACACATTTTCTAAACAAATCTAAACAAATTTGAAATTTGAAGCTATTTTGGATCTGTCAGTTTATCGTGCCTGCCTCCTCTCCCATTGTTATCTGCTCTTTTGATGTATTTTGTACTTATTATTGTTACGGTTTTTTTTTAAAAAAAGAACTGTAAGCCATCTTTTGCATCTGCTATGCAGAGAAAGGCAGGACATAAATTTTACAATAAATAAAATATAAACACAGCTGTCCTCCTGGGAAGAAACAGCTGGGCAGAGTGCCCATTTCAGCTGTTTCTCAAAGGAAATACTAACAGCAATATGCAGATAGGAAGATGGCACACATATCTCGGCTCCCTGGCAATGGTTGCCACCCAAAAGTCACGTTCGTTTGGAAAAAGAGCCTTCACTGAACTGCACGCAAAGTAAAAGTTGGTTTTTAGAGGCAACATTTTTTTTAACATCCCTTAATCAGTTAAGGGAAGATCTGACATAACCATGTTGGAAAAATCACATTTTAAAATTAATTTCTTGTGTCATCCTCTGTGAACTCTCTATAACCTGATGCCATTACCATTACAAAGAAAAAGAAAGAAAGAAAGAAAGAAAGAAAGAAAGAAAGAAAGAAAGAAAGAAAGAAAGAAAGAAAGAAAGAAAGAAAGAAAGAAAGAAAGAAAGAAAGAAAGAAAGAAAGAAAGAAAATTAATTTGCTAAAAAGTAACTCATCATGTGCTGTGATGGTCTAAGCTGGACAGTAATTCTTTAAAGATATAGTAATGGAGAAGGACTTGATTGATATCATGGACTGCCAGAAAGATAAACAAGTGGGTCCAAGGTCAAGTCAAGCCTGAACTTGACTTGATCTAGAAGTAAACCTAATGAAACTGAGGCTGTTGTACTTTGGGCACTTCATGTAAAGGCAAGATTTGCTGGAAAGAACAATAATGCTAGGAAAAGTTGAATCCAGCAGGACAAGATCAACTATGAGATGGATTAGCACAATAAAAGAAGCGATGGCCTGGGGTTGACAAGAGCTGAGCAGGGCATTCGAGGACAGGACAGACTGAAAGTCATTCCTTCATAGGACCATCCATACGTCAAGAAGTGACTTGAGGGCACAGATTGACAACAATTACCTCACCCTATTGCTCCTTGCCTTACTTGATATTTTTGTTCCATTTTCCTTTCCTTAAAGAAAAATTTAAATAAAAATAGTCTCAATTTTGAAAAGAAAATTTGAACATTCCCCTCAAGGTGATACAAGGAGTAATAAGTACATGTTTGTTTGTTTGTTTTGCACTGAACTAACTCCCCCCCATCACTCCCCTATTTTGCCAAAGGAACATTGTTACATTTTCATTTTGCCCCCCCCATCACATGTAACATCCTTACTTACAATATATTACAGTATATCTAAATTCTTGGTATACCCCCCTCATCCCCCACTCGTACCCCTCCAAACAGGGGAGGAGCTCACCATGGAGAAGGACGACAGTTGTGTACTCTCGGTTTTAGTGGCCCCACAACAATATGGAGCTGATGTGGGCGTAAGTGGCCACTGGTGGAAAAGACAGAGAGAAACACCGAGTTCTGGCCACCTTTTCCAATCTCCTTTAGGAGTGTTCCTCCAAGATCACTGTCTAAGAGCTGCTGCTTCACCCTTCACCACCTGCCAAGGACCCAAGCGCTACAAACGGAAAAGACAAGAAACACAAGGTCTGTCTTCTTATTATTACAATTCGCAGGTCTTCCCATCCTCATGGGCGACATCTGAGCAGAGTTTTTTTTTAATGGGGTGTGTGTGTGTGGTTTTTTGGTTAAGGGTGGGGAGAATGCAGAAAAACAACAGTTGCAGTTGAATTTTTTTTAAGATCATGCAAACTAAATTGAATTATTTAGAGCCATATGCTCCAAAACCATATCAGAGCTGAAGAAAGGACGTATCGTGAGACTTCCGAATGTGGACCTCCCTATACTGGGAGCGGGAAGTGGGGAGGAGAAAAAGGTAGAGCCAGCTGCCATGCAAGCAGCTGGTAACTGTCTCCCTTCTCCCTCTGACAGAAAGTGAGAGAAGTTGGGTTTCCATACCCCACCTCCCTTATTGTGTGGGGCACAGAACGCCTCTGATCGGAGGGGGGGGGGTATAAGGCACCATTTGGTTTCACCTTGGTTTGCAACGAACGAGAAGCACAGCTATTTCATAGAGCTTGGCTGATTAAATATTTCTCTTGCTTCTTTCTGGGGGGAGGGGGCTGGAGGGGGGGCAGAGCAGTGGAAGGGAGACATACAATTAGTTTCCCACTATACTTCAGGGAGGACTAATCCTGCCCTCACCATTGGATGTGTTCTTTCTGTCCTTTATGGATCCTAAAGAAGGAAACTGATGTTTGGGATAAGGTGATGATTCTCAGACAACGTAGCGTGATTCTCAACTCTCTGGGAAAGGGGGCTTTTTTTTTTGCCTAGACATCCATGGGAAGCATCTAATAAGAGACCCCTGATAAGACAGGAAGGAGCTGTGAAGGAACCCTGGAAAGCTGGGGAGAAAGATAGTGTGCGCGCATACAGGTTGGACAGAACCAGCCGACGCTTCCCACTCCATTGAAAGGAGTCACTCGATTCACCCACAGATGTCTGTCCGTTAAAGCATTCGAGCAGTTCTTACAACACCCTTGTAAGGTCAGACAGCATGACTGCCTGCAGAAGTGAGGGAGGGGACCCGGGGCTTGCCTACTGCCGGCGCGCAGTTCATGGGTGAGATGAGACCCAAAGGCTCGCAGCTTTACTCCATGCCACCCTCGTCCATTTCCATGCTACCCCTGGAAGCTGCCAGCTGTAGCCTGAAGAGTCAAGGAAGTAGTGCAGGTGGTGAAATGTCTCGGAGACAAGGCAAAGACACTCTGCGCAGGAGCAGAGGCAGTATCGCCGGCTTTCTCTTTCTTACTTCCCATGTTCCCCCAATGAACCCTAATCTTATAAAACAAACAAACCAAAAAAAATGAAAACCCAAGCCTATGGACTCAAGCACCAAAGCTGCCTTGGCCTCTCCTTTCCTCCTTCGCTCCCCGTCCTTTTTTTTTTTTCATCTTGTGCTCCCGTCTTTGGCCTCTCTCCTTGCCCACTCCTGGCGGCTGGCAAGTGCCTTCTTCCTGCTCCCGTCACAACCGCCCACCCCGTGCCTCACCCGCTGCCTTTTCCCCCTTCTTTTTTTAAAAAAGAAAAAAAGAAAATAATGGGTCTAGCAGCCCCCCACTTCGCTCGTCTCCCCCTGCCTTTATTATTTTGGCCGCAGCTTATCAATGATGCAAGAGGAATAACACCAATTTACTTAGAATGTGTAATCCCCCAAATCAGATTGGGGGATTGCAAGAGGCGGGCTGACCTTGCATATGTCTCCATTAAAGCCACCCAGGCCTCCGCTTGTATTCTGTGTTCCCAGCACATATTTAGACAGATAACACTAATTGTACTTGACATGTCCTCTTAAGAGTGGACTCTCTCCTCCCTCTGCAGCTCAGCCTGACAATGAGCCAGCCTCCAAAGCTGGGAACGGCTCTTTCCTCCCTCCCTCCCTCGCCCCCCCCGCGGCCCTGCAGGGCAGGGCACAATGCAGACTAGACTCGGTGGGTGCCACCCACCCCCACCCCTTGCTACAGGGAATCACCCCATATATACTTCCTCGCTCCCTGATCTCCCCACTTGTCCAAATCTCAGGGCTGGCCCTCAAGAATACCTCAGAAAGGCTGACATCCGATCCTAACCCCCCACCCCATCAAAAGAAACCCAGAGAAGGAGTGTGTGTGTGTGTGTGTGCCATACACGTGTGTGAGAAAGTGTGTGTGCGTGCACGCATGCCTTTCTGGGCCATTGTTAATCAGGGATTAAAAACTGCTATTGTAGCAGACTCAAATTCTTCCGAAGAAAAGACGCACACACACACCCTGCTCTCTCCTGAAGGAAGACAGAGTCAAAGAGGGACATGTAAAGTTGGGTGTATTTTGTCACACATGAGCCATAATCTTAGCAAAAGTGCTATTCAAACTGTGAGAGAAAATGGTTGGAAAGCTCTCGAGAGAAAATTTCGGGGGCCATCACAAATTCAGACTAAGGCAGGACCCCCTCCTCCCGGTTCCCTGCACCTTTTAATCAGTCTTCTGCCCAGTCTGCCCTGCCCTGTCCTCTCCCCCTTTGCTCACCATTTATAAAACACGAGATTTTCAGGATGCTTTGCTTCTGTTCAAATCATTTTATAGATTAGAAAGTCACATGCTGCTCCACTGATCTTTTTCCTGGTCTCCTCCTCCTTTTAGGGTTTGGATGCTTAAATTTCAGACTTGTTTGCAATGTTAAGCCTCAAATACGAAACACACACTTAAGACACACACAAACACCACATCAAAAAGACAGAAAAGAATGATGGAACCACATAAAAAGAAAAACAGAAGCGCAAGG